TCATATTAATAAATATGGAGGTTACAAAAAAGGAACATGCTCTATTTGTATAAATTATTTTTTTCAATTAAAGATGGTAAACACCATAATAAAGAACTTTCTATATGGAATTCAACAGATGGATAAGGAAAATTAATATTAAAATTAAAATTATCTCAGTAACGAATGTAAAACATTATATAAGGGTATTGAATTTAAAATAATAGATGCATGCAATAATGAGCCCAGGAGTAAAGTATGAAAAATGGAGCCAGACAGGAAATAATAGTCTGGAATTTTTTTTTGCATATATAAGCAGGAATAGAAATGTGGATAAAACGTTTAATGACCTTTGACGTCATTACAGTTCTTAATTTTTTATTTACTATAAAAAAAGGATTGCATTAACAATAAAAATAAGATTTTTTATTTAATTAAAAACAAACTGATGAACAATCTTTCTTAATTTTTGACTTTGCACCAAATAAAAAAATAATAAATTCAAAGGAAAAAATTGGACTTCTAAATGGTATAGTTTATTAGTTTTAGGAAACATAGACATGCAGACAAATATCTGGCTTTATATAGAGAGAAATATCCACTTAATCTTATAGTCAAGTGCCGTTCTAGAAAAAGTACAGTATTAAAAAGAAAAAGTAAAGCATTAACAATAAAAATAAGATTTTTTTTTAATTAAAATAAACTGATGAGCAATCTTTCATATGTTTTCGAAATGCACCAAATAAAAAAAAGAATAAATTCAAAGTAAAAAAACTGGAGTTCTAAGTGATATAGTTTATAAGTTTAAAGAAACATAGACCTACAAGCAAATATCTGGTTTTATATATAGAGAACTATCCACTTAATCTTACAGACAAGTGCCGTTCTAGGAAAAGTACAGTATTAAAAAGAAAAGTACAGCATTAAAAGCAAACTTATGAACAATATTTGATAATGTTTTGCCATGCCCCAAATAAAAAAATAATAAATTCAAGGAAAAAACTTTTACTTATAGAGTTTCGAAGCTTTAAGAAACATAGACATACAGACAAATATCCCGCCTTTATATAGAGAGAAATATCCACTTAATCTTATAGCCAAGTGCCTTTCTAGAAAATGTACAGTATTAAAAAGAAAAAGTACAGCATTAACAATAAAAATAAGATTTTTATTTAATTAAAAACAAACTGATGAGCAATATTTCATATTTTTTTGACATACACCAAAAACAAAAATAATAAATTCAAAGAAAAAAATTGGTATAGTTTTTAAATTTTAAGAAACATAGCCCTACACACAAATATCTGACTTTATATAGAGAGAAATATCCACTTACACTTATAGCGAAGTGCCGTTCTAGAAAAAGTACAGTAGCACTGACAATTCTTAGGCATATATATTCCTGTATTATTAAACATATACATCGCTGATGCAATGTTTTCTTGGTTTCAGAGCCGCATTCTTCTTTGCCACCCACAATAACTGAATCCCGGCCAATTGTGAGAGCCAGAGAGACAGAACGGGTATTTCTGCCCTGTGTGGGTCAAGGGTATCCAAACCCTACTTACAGGTGGGGGAGGAGAGACGGAGATAGGGTGACTTCATTTCATTTAGGAGAGAGAATCCTTCAGAAAGACGGTATACTTATCATACAGCAAGCAGCTATTCAAGATACGGGGGTGTACATCTGTGAGTTGAACAACTCTGTTGGGCAAGATAAAGCCGAAACAAAACTTCTTGTATCAGGTAAGTTTAGATTGTATAGTATGAAAAGTATATCTGGTCCTATTTTGAGATAAATGTATTAAAAAAGAATTATTTTTTGTAATGAAAACTTAATTTATTGTTTTTAAATCATTTTTTATAAAATTAATTGATTTTTTTTCATTGACAAAAATTGTATAAAGAAATTAATATTAATTTATTACAAAGCCATTTACATAATGTGACAATAATAGTAAATGATATATTACCACAATTAATTATAAACAAACATTTCATGAAAAGGTTTAAAACGTACATTTGACTAGCTAAGTATATTTTTCGTGATAAAATTATTATAAATAACAAAGTGACTTTTTTTTTACCAATTTTTCTCAACTTGTACAAATTATTTATTAAACAACAAAACAGCCACGTATTTACACTTTTATTCTATTTCCAATAATAAAAATAATACATATTATTAATATTAAGACAGATATTTTTTTACATGCACATATTGTAATTCCATGTGAAAACATATCAATAGTTTTTTTTTTTTTTAATAAAATATAATTTTATTTTATTTCATCAGATTTTTATAGTTGTCTATAACACCTTATGAAGAAAATGAAAAAGCATATTCTTCATACACATGATAATATTTACTTATTGTAGCTACTTTGCAACAGAGTATATGCGCATTAAATTTTAGCGAACTTAAATATCTAATTAAATTTAAAATAATTAATGTTTAGAAAATGAATCTAAAGCCATCTACAAACAGTTAGATGTAGACTTCATAAAATACAGGCATACTGCATCACAATTATCACTGATGGTACTGCCTGATTATGGTAAAAATTATACATTCTACAATACTTAGTTAAACTCTTTTAAACTTCAGAAGCGTAAACTGTAAAACGTACATTTAAAAAGTATAAAGGCATTTGGAGGGAATACTGTCTATGCATTGTAGGATCTACAGAAAATCACATAGGAAGCTATTAATACCTGAAGTTGTACTTCTAGTACAGGGGTGGCAAACCAATATGATCTTGCTGACCACTTTGGAAAATCATCATAACTACCTGGTTGCATATAAAATTATATATCCCTATATTAGATTTAGACCTACTATAGACATTTTTTGGCGTGAACATGTGAAGCATAATGAGTTATTATTATTGTGTTTACTATTATTCTTACATGCAAACATAGATAATATAATAATAATGATAGTAATAATAGTCACGCACATTTTAAAGAAATATACAACATTAAAAAGGAAGTATAAACAATATATAAATGTAAATGAAATAAAAAAAATGAAATCATTTAAAAAATATTTATGTTACTATTGCGATATTTCTTTGTTATCAAAGTTAATTACTTAGAATATTATTTCAAAATCAAAGGTAATTTTAAGTTAATTACTTAGAATATTATTTCAAAATCAAAGGTAATTTTTTTCTCATAATTTCGACAGTTAATTCTTGAATATGTGGAGGCTCACATAATGTATTTTTTTAATACATTGGTTTTCACTACTTCGGCCGTTAAGAAATAAATATATCTTATAAAAGTGTAATAAATCTCACGGGCCGGAACAGTGTCTAAGGCGGGCCACGGATTGGCGACAACTGTTTTAGTAGATAAACATAATGTTATCAACCATTTAGATAGTGTTTCTGTCGTATATTACTACATTCTATGATTCTAGGACTTATATCTTGCAATTTTATTCCCCTCAGCTCCATTGTCAGCAAAAATCGATCCTGAATCGCAGATCGTGGACGTGGGCAAGATGGCAACATTGAGTTGTCGAGTGATGGGTCATCCGGTCCATTCTGTTGTGTGGTTGAAAAATGGCAGCCCATTGGTGGCGAATGGGCCCATCAAACTTGTTTCCAGGGACATATTGCAGATCAACCCCATTCGGAGGGAGGACTCGGCCATGTATCAGTGCTTCGTTAGCAACGACCAGGAGGTTGTACAAGGCTCAGCAGAACTGTTTGTTGCTGGTAAGATGTAAAGATTTATTAATTAATTATTGTTAATGCTGATAATCCCTTGCTAGAATTAAAGTCAATCACATGTCACTATTAATTACTATATTAGGACCAAATTACTGGGATGTAGGCAGTAATTAAGTAATGGATATAAAATTAAGATAATTAGATTATTGCAGTAAGTACACATAATAATCAAGATGCAAACAGTAATTAGACTGGACATAAAATTAAAAGAATTAGATTATTACACTAAGTACACGTAATAATAATCAAGATGTAAACAATAATTAGACTGGATGTAAAATTAAGAGAAACTGTCCACAACCTTTTATTATAATTATCATTTTGTATAATGTGCACAATTTTACTATTGTGGGAAATTAAAGTGTTCAGTTTTACTATTGAATAATTTTGTTCCATAATAATAGCAAATATCACATGAGGTCAAAATTTTATAATAGAATATTAACAAAGATTTTTAAAAAAAATATTTATTTATTTTTGGCTTTTATGTTATAGTACATATATTTATATTTAAAAAATATATAGACTTTGCAGTTTTAAGGCATAAAAATGAAAATAAAAGCAAAAGTTTCAAACACATTAAAAAAGATTTATTATTTTATTTTGTTTTTTATTTATCTTTATATTTTAAACATTATTTTTAAATTACATTTTTTAATTACATAATCCATAATAATTATCGATCATGTAGCATAAAAATTAAAAAAAAAAAAATTTTTTTTTACTTTTGTGATATAGAATAAATATTTAAAATTAAAAATATACATACTTTATAAATTTAAGGGATAACAATGAAAATAAAAGCATAAATTTCAAACATATTAAAATAGCTTTTTATTGTTTACCTTGTTTTTCACTTATCTTCATATTTTTAACACTTTTTAATTAGATTATCCATAATCCATAATAATTATCATAATATAGCATAATAATAATTGTACTTTTTAACCGCAAAATATTATTCTTTAATAGATTGAAAAATGTGAAGTTTATTTTCCTGATCTTCAGTGATACATTTTCTATTTTTGAACAATCATTTTTAGAAATTTTTCTATTTGTAAGTTGTTTTATTTTAAGATTATTAAAACGTTTATGATTTTACTTTAAAGTAATCAATGAAATTATGTTAATTATAAGTACTTTAAAATAAATCTGCATAAAGGGAAATATTTGTATCATGTATCTTTAATACGTGGGAAGTGAATAGTCTACTTCGTTTTGATTTTATATAAATATTTGGAAGTCAAAGTGATGCAATCATATAATACTTGTTACATATATTATACCATGCTGAATGTACCGGTTCTCGTTAGATCACCGAAGTCAAGCATCATTGGGCGTTCAGTACTTGGCTAGGTTACCGCGTGCCGTTGGCAAATTTGGGACCTGAATGGCCGAGTGTGTCTAGCGCTCTGGCTCTCGGTGACCACAGGTTTCGGGTTCGAATCCCGGCGGTGCCATGGATGTTTGTAGTGGTTCGGAATCCCTTTAACGGGTCTCCTATCAGAGCGTCACAACAGAAGCTGCTTCCTTCCTTCCCCTTCAATCATGAGCACGTATGGGCTCGTGGGCTTGGCCAGCCAAGTGGGATAAGAAACAACAACAACAACAACATATATTATTGTTTAAAAATAAGTTGTCAGGTATAACTGATGTAAAAAGAAAATATTTGTATTTTACATAAACAAAAAATAATTGTTTTTAAACAGTAGAAAAACATTTATTAAAATGATAAAGATAATTCTTTTTATTGAAGTTATGTCCAAAAGAATAATTCCGCCATATCAATCAGTAATTTAAAGATATGATTTTTTTTTAGTTCCTAGCTAATTATTAAAAAAATTATTTTTTAGTTTAAATTTTCTACATAAAAATATCAGATAAAAAGGGTAGATTTCACAGATTAAAAACTATTTTTCCTTAAGTTCAAAGATGCACATATTTTAAGCTTATTAAAACATTTATGGTTTTACTTTAAAATGGTCAATGAAATTGTGTTGATTGTAAATATATTAAAATAAATCAGCATAAATAGAAATAATTAAATTATGTATCTACAATACGAAAGAAGTGTCAAGTCTACTTTGAATATATAAAATTTTTTGAAAACAGAGTGATACAATGATATAATTCATATTATTACGTATATTTCTGTATAAAAGAAGTTGTCATGCATAACTGAGATAAAAACAAAATAACTTTTTAATAAAGTTAATCAGTTCAAAATAATTTTTTAAAGCAGCGCAAAGCACATTTATTTATAAAGATAATTTTTTTTATTGAAGTTATACCTAAAATAAATTTAATGTAGTATTTATTATAAATATTAGATATACATAAATATTTGAAAAACAAAGTGAAGTAATCACATAATTATTTTTTGTTTAAAAAGAAATTGTCAAGCATAACTGGAATAAGAAGAAAATAACTTTTTTTACTTAAAAAAAATTACTTTATTTAAAACAGTGCAAAACACATTTATTAAATAATAAAGATAATTCTTTTATTGAAGTAAAATAATTATCATTTCTTTGTTATCTTTTAGCAAACATAGCAATTTAAATATGCAGATTTTTTTTTTGTGTTCCCAGATAATTATTAGAAAAAATTGTTTTTAATTTGTTCTTTAGTTTAAATTTTCCTACATAAAAATGACAGATAAAAGGGCCAGATTTCGTGGATGAAAAATTATTTTTCCAAAATTCCAAGATACAGATACTTTAAGAGTATTAAAAACATTTATGGTTTTACTTTAAATGGTCAATTAAATTATGTATGTAAATACTTTCAAAATAAATCATCAAAATTGAAAATAATTGAATCATGTGTATGCAATAAGTGAGAAGTGAAAATTCTATTTCGTTTTGAATATATATAAATATTTTGAATACAAAATGATACAATCACATAATTCTTGCTACGTATATTCTTGTTTAACACGAAGTTGTCATCAAAGTTTGAGATATAAAGAAAATAACTTTTTTAATTAAACAAAAAATAATTTTTTAAAGCATTGCGAAACACATTTATTAAAATAATAAAGATAATTCTTTTTATTCAATTTATATCCAAAAGAATAATTTCGCCATATCAATAAAATAATTATCATTTCTTTGTTATCTCTTAGCAAACATAGCAATTTAAATATGTGGAATTTTTTGAGTTCCCAGATAATTATTAGAAAAGATAGTTTTTAATTTGTTCTTTAGTTTAAATTTTCGACATAAAAATGGAAGATAAAAGAGGTAGATTTCGCGGACGAAAAATTATTTTTCCTAAGTTCAAAGATGCAGATATTTTTAAGCGTATTACTTTTTACAGTTCAAATTAATTGAAGTAATTGTTTATCTTATCTAAATATTTAGCAAAAACTTTCTGGCTTTAAGGTAAATAATTTTTACACAGGCCAAAAATTTAAAAGAAGGTTCTTAAAATGTTAACTTAAAAATGTACTTCAATTTACTTCACATAGTTTTGCAAAATAAAAAGGTAAAAAATAAATAATTTGTTTTCATTTTTACTGTAATTAATGTTTCGATGCTTTTACTTTTAATGCCAACCAAAATTCAATGAAACAACCTCTAGATATTAATGCTGGTGAACAAAAAATGTCATATTGTGAACTTATAAAAAATTATTTATTCATTAATTACTTATGTAATCGTAATAATTGTTGAAATTAAAAGATTTAGAAAAAAAATGATAATTAATATTTTTACCAAAGTAACATGTATACGAAATACTAGAAACAATCCTGTTTTTATATTAAAACAGTTAAGTTAACACACTTTCTAATTTTGATGACTGTAATTAAGGCATTTTTTGTGCATTTTAATGAATCGATATCTGATGGAGTTTTATATTAAATAAATGTTTTTTTATGTCATGTTAATATTAAAAATAAAAAATACAATTCGACATTTTTACTATATTATATTACATAAAGTATTTCATAATTGTTTTGAAAATAATTTAAAATAATTTAACAAGACAAAGTTTTTGTGTAAACCGAAATGACAAATGTTTTGAAAACTTTTTTAAATTATTCTTTTTTTTTTTATTAAATGTTCTGAATTATCTAATTCACGGAATAATTCAATATTTCTTTTAATTTTTAATTCAAAAATTTTTCTGGAAATGTTTATATTGAGCAAATGTCCTCAAATAGACATTTTTGCTTAAAAAAATTATTATGTTTGTTTTATTAAATTTGCCCAAAAAGGGAAAAGTGATTGTTAACTGAAATCTAATTTTCAAAGTCTAATTTTAAATTTAAAAAATAAAAATATATTTTTTTAATAAAATAATTAATTTATTCAAAATATCATTTTTGAAAGAAAATAACATTTTTAGGTTAATAATGCTGTTTTTGAAAGTCGAGTGCTTTGACCTGATATCAACTTCCATTAAAACGGCATATAAGAAAATGTGGTAATTATGGCGTTACACATCAAAGATGATACATTTTTAGCGAACATCTCTGGAATATAAACTAGAACACTTTGCTTCCTCATTATCTCCTATTCAAGGTCAACAGAAAGAATTTCTGGCGAACAAATTTATCACGTCCATACGCATTATTCCATATGCACGCCAATTTTTAAATTCCACATTCCATAATATTTTATATATGAATATTAATACTGCTTTTTATACGTCCATTGTTCCTAATTTTGCAGCATTTTTATAATTTTACAGCAACTGCTTTTACCGTAAAATTCTTACACTTATTTATTAGCTGCTACTGTTCTCTTAATAATTCTTTCTATACAGTTTAATTCCTTTGATGAATATTCCTTCCTTTTCTGATTTATAAAATCTCCAATGTTGTGTTTATTGTATTGTATGGTTTTTTTAAATTTTCTAATAATTTGCTTTATGCATTTTTTATATTTTTATATTTTCATTTTAAATTTTTCCCTTTTTTCTAATTTTAATTTTTTGTATTTTCTACTATTTTATAAAATTTTCCTCATTGTTCAGCTTCTATTCTACCAAAAGTGATTTTTTTTTTTTTTTTTTTGCGAAAATATTCCTTTCTCAATTCTGTGTCCATTCAATTTCATACACATCATTCCCAAACTGTATAGGAGCATTTCTGCTCTAGGTGCAGTGACGTGGTGTGGTGTAGAGGTAATTTAGTTTGTCGCTCTACGGACATTTTTTGCACACTTTGGGATAATTAAACCGGGTCATATTGCTTAACGTGGATTACGAACCACTAACAAAGCATCCATGCCCTCCGCCAGGATTCTAACCTGAAACCTGTGGTACCTATGACTAAAGCTCTAGCCAATTGGTGATTAGGCCCCAGTAGTAACTTAGAGACTAAATAACGTTTATAGTTTTATTGTTGTTTTTGAAAGTCGAGATTTTTTACCTGCTTCTCCTCTAAAATGGCTGATAAGAAAAGGTTTTAGTGTGGTTAGTGCATATCACGTGGGACTTGCTACAATGCACTAACATTAGGAAACTATAATTTTGGGCGAATTCCCCTAGGGTACAATCTGGACGTTTCACTCCTTCTTTACCTCCTACGCAAGACCAACTGAAAGAATATCTAGCCAATAGAATTATCATACACATTTCCCACAAAAACATATACACTTTCATTTCGACATGGATTATTGAATTTCAAACCAGGTTTTCCTATCTTAGAAACTAAATAACTTTTATAATAATACTGTTTTTTTTTTTTTTTTAAATCTAGTATTTTGAGTTGATATCATTCTTCACTAAAACGATTGATAAGAAAAGGTTCAATTTGGTCTAGTCATACCATGTGGTGATAGCTACACTGATCTAATATTGGGAAACAATAATTTTGAATGAACTCCCCAGGGATATAATCTGGACATGGACACTTTAAGTACTTGATTAGCGGAAGGAATTTCTGGCCAGCAAATTTATGACACCCATTGCCCACATGGAATTTTTTATATATGGAAATATTTCATTGCGTTATCGATTTTTGGATTTCAAACCATATTTCTCTAGCTTAGGAACTAAATAACGTTTATACTAATATTGCTGTTTTTGAAAGTCGAGTATTTGGACCTGATATAATTCTGCACTAAAACGGCTGGCTGATAAGAAAAAGGTATCTTATTATATTTTATTATATTGCACTAACAATGAGCACTATAATTTTGAGCGAACTCTCCTGGAATATAATACTTCCTCCTTACCTCTTCAAAACCAACGGAAAGAATTTCTTCTTTCCCCCATACAGGTAGAAATTTCATTTCGATATCCATTTTCAGATTTTAAACCAGTTTTCCCTCGTCTTGCCTTGTTCATTTGGATGGTTCATCTGCTTTGATTAATGTCCATATGAATTACCCATACACACTCAGTAAGTTCATTA